TAAGTTATCTTAAATCAAACATATAAAATTCAAAAAATGTATTTATCCTTGTTTTATTTTTTAATTATCAACCATTAATAAAATACTAACTTAAAATCTTATCTAATTATATCATAATATTTTCATATCAAATTTAAAACCAGTTCTTACATTTTCGACAAATATAAATTTTTCAGAAATATTCTATCAATAATATAATCTTTCCTATAAAAAAAATTCATCGAAAATATAAATTTTTCGACAGATTTAATTTTGTTTTATAAGAAATCATCTTCGATTAATATAACATTTTGTATATATGATTTAAGAATAAAGAATATTCAATTTAACGATTGGATTTAAAAAATTCACATTTAATATAAAGTTATTGAGCGGTGTAATACTTAGTAAATTTTACTAAGTATTACACCGCTCAATAATTTTATATTAAATGTGAATTTTGTAAATCCAACCGTTAAATTGAAAGTTCATATCTCTTAGATTATATATACAAAGTTTTATATTAATCCAAAATGATTTGATACTTCATTTTTATAAAAACAAAATTGATGTAATATATTCATTTCAAAATACACTAAAATATGAACACTTTGATTACCTTCCAGTTGTTGTTCAATTTTAACAAAATTTGATATACACATATAAAGTAATACGAACTTTCAATTTAACGGTTGGATTTACAAAATTCACATTTAATATAAAGTTATTGAGCGGCGTAATACTTAGTAAAAGTTACACCGGTATAATTATAACCTCCTATATTATATATATGTGTGTGTGTGTGTAATTTTAAACTTATTTCTTCTAGAAAATAAAAAAAAATTGTTTTTTTTTCTTCTAAAATATAAAAATATTATTTATGTTAAATAAACTAATATTTGCACTAATTATTTAATAGAAAACTCATGAAACACACAAATATGAAAATATTCACACTTGAACTTGCTTACTATAATTTTAAAGACAATATACTAACATCTCTAAGTAGTTTATAAATAATACATAATTATTGTAGGTGACACTTAAGATAATTATTTATCTTTTTTTTTTAAATAAAAAGTAGTTAAAAATGATTACATAAAAAATAAGAATTAAAAATAAAAATTCTAATTTCGGACGAAATATTCCATCGGAAATTTTCTGTTGAAAATTTTCGATAATTTATTTTTTCGACGGAATTTTCCGTCAAAAATTTCTGGCAGATTTATATTTCTGTTAGAAATTTTCGAAGGAAAATTCCGTCGAAAATTTTTCGTCAAAAAATATAAATTTTTCGACGAATCCATATCCGTAAAAAATTTTCTATCAAAAATTTACATTTTTCTTGTAGTGATGTGCTCTCTAATCTCTGTGCTCCCCCTGGGATCTTGATTAGATAATAATGTCATCTATGAATGTCATTATAAACCTATCCAAGAGCAGTCTAAAAATTTCGTTCATATAGTCTATGAGCATTGTTGGGACATTGGCCGCACCAAAGGATATAACCACGTACGCATAAAGATCATGCATAATCCTGAAAACAATTTGGGAGTTGCTACTGTACCCCTGATAAATGAGAGGTTTTGGTACTGTAGCTAATGTGTATATGTACACATCATCTAAATACCATGTCAAATGTCATGTCAACCTTTTAAATAAAAATTATTTTATATTTAAATTTTTACATTATTTAATTTTAAGTTTTTATTAATATTTTTATAATTATACGATCTCCTCTCCCCTCCCTCCGTCTCCCACCTCTCCCCTCCCTCCGTCTCCCACCTATCCGTCTCCCACCTCTCCCTTGCCCCTCCGTCTCCCACTCCCCTCCCCTCCCCTCCGCCTCAACCTCTCTCCCTACTTCTTGAACTCCCTCGCCACAACCATTTACCACTCCTCCCTTCCCTTCTCCTCCGCCCTCTACTATTCCCTCCTCTCCACCGTCGACCATGACTCCTCCAAGGTTACCTTTGTCTCTGATGACATCCTCGTCCTCCGCGGCACCATCGGCGTCAACCTTGGCTCCTCCGACGCCGACGCCGTCAACCAGAATCTCGTGGAGGAGACCAACCGCATCCTGGCCGAGATCCGCTCCGACGCCGACCCCAACGACCCCGACGAGCAAGCCCCCTTGAACCCTAACGTGACCTACAGCCTGGGCCCCAAGATCCGCAATTGGGACGAAGAACGCAAGGCTTGGCTCCTCCAAAACCCCGAATACCCTAATTTCATGAGAGGTAAACCCCGCATCTTGCTCCTCACTGGTTCCCCTCCCAAGCCCTGTGATAACCCTATTGGGGACCATTACCCCTGAGAGGAAGAAACACGAAGCAAACATTTCAAAAAAAAAAGAGGAAGAAAAATGAAGCAAACACTCCGAAAAAATATTAAAAAACGTGAATTTCATTATAATTGACGTGGATATTGAATTGTAAATAATTATAAAATTATAAGTGATTTGGATCACACATCATCGACAGTACCAGTACCCTTCTTTTACAGAGGGTACCGTAGAAATTCTCAAACAATTTTTGACATGTCACTCTCTTTTACTCTTATTAAGTGATACTTATATCTCAAGTCAATTTTGAAAATTACAAACACTTTTTTCAACTGATCCATCAAGTTATTTATCCTATGAAGGAGATATTTATTCGTGATGATTTATCTATTCAATAATCTCTATTTGTTTTTAAATCAAGTAACTTATCAAAGAATAAATTTTTTATGGTATTTAATAATCTCTATTTCTATTTTAATTATTATCTATTTTAAAATTTTATTTTATTTCCTTTCCTCCCTTTTACTGAATCCGGTGTAAGACAAGCCACGTGACATGGGAAAAAGTAGAAAAATCTTTCACCTGGCCACCTTAAATTGGGTGGGTCTGTCTCTGGGTCATTTATAACCCATTCCCTGTTATGACTTACGACCACGACCGGTTATTTTCTCTGTGTGTACAGTGTAAGCCCCAATAAACCTTAACTATTCATTTTGTACAATTCAATCGATAAAATTAATTTCCCATTTAGGTTACATAGCCAGGTTCTACTATCAAAACATTAAATGAAATGTTTATTACATAATGATATATAAACATGTCAATATCAAAACAATAAGAGTAAAATACCAATTTTATCCTTGAAGTATTACTATTAAAGTAAAAAAGAAAACACTTAAAAAGTTTTCAAATATTTTAAATTGGTTTCAAAACTTTACTAAAATATGTATAATGTAATGAACAATATTTTATATTGTTTCTTGAATAAAATTTATAAAAGAATTATTGAAAGGCATTAGTAATGTGATAGGAAAAAAAAAGCATATTTAAAGAAGACCATACGTATGTTTTTAATTAAATATATGTGTATGGGTTGTTAAAGTTAAAAGCAGAGTTTGCTGTGTGGATGTTTAGATGAAAGAGGAGGGAAGGAGAGGAGATAGATAGATTGTGATTTGTGAGAAGGGAGAAGGGAGAGTGGTCAAAAGCGCACCACTGCGGAGTTGCTGGTACGTGTGTTTTATTCATTATAAAATACAATAGCTGCACAAGTTTGAAGAAGCGAATCAATCTCACACAGCAATGAATGACAGAGATAACTAACTCCACCAGATTGGTCAAAACTCAAAACACCACGAATCACAATGTCCCTTCCCTTCCATGCCTACCTCATCCCTCTCCTATTCCTCACTCTCCCAACCCCTTCGCTCGCCGCCGTTCCATGCCCCCTCAACATAACCGTCCTCCGGGTGGTGGGCGGCGGCGCCCGCCCCTCCTTCGACTCCGGGACGCAGTGCCACTACATCCTCCAGGCCCTCCACCTCCTGCAGGCCGACTACCTCCGCCGCAGCCACCGCTTCGTGCCTCCCCTAAACGCCTCCGACTCCTGCTGGTCCACCTTCCAATCCTTCATCAACGAGTTCGAGCCCAGCTTCGACATCCGCGCCTCCTGCGGCCTCCAAACGGCGTGGATCTCCCAAGGCTGCATGAACATCACCACCAAGCAACAATTCGAAGCCACCGTCCCCGCCGCCGCCACACAAGCCGTCCAAACGAACTGCAACCAATCCTTGGACAACAACTCCCCCTGCGCCCTCTGCACCACCAAACTCTCCACCCTCCTCTCCTACTTGACGGGACCCACCGTAGGGAACGTCACCGACTGCAGAGCTTACACTTCCATCTACGCTGCTTCTCTCTCCGATCAATACGGCGCCACCGACCCCGGAACCGCCAAGTGCCTCTTCGGGCTGGATTTCTCCTCTTCGAACTCCTCCGGTAAGCGTCGGGCCATTATCATCGCCGTTGTTTCGGTTTTTTGTTTGTTGGCCTTGGTTCTCTTCGTTGGGCTTTGGGCTTACTTGAGATTGAAAAAGAAAAGGGAGGGTATTGCGAGGGGGAAGGGTACTGAAGTGGGTTCTGGGTTGGGGTTGGATTCCATCAGCCAGAGTACCACTTTGATTCGGTTCACTTTTGAGGAAATTAAAAAGGCCACTAGGAATTTCTCTCGAGACAACATCATAGGAAGTGGCGGTTATGGGAATGTTTATAAAGGAACCCTCTTGGATGGTAGTCAGGTTGCGTTTAAGCGTTTCAAGAATTGTTCTGTTGCCGGGGATGCTAGCTTCACTCACGAAGTTGAGGTTATTGCTAGTGTCAGGCATGTCAACCTTGTTACCCTTAGAGGCTACTGTACTGCCACCACGAATTTAGAGGGTCACCAGAGGATTATTGTCACTGATTTGATGGAAAATGGAAGTCTTTATGATCATTTATTTGGTTCTGCCAAGAAGAACCTCAGTTGGCCCATTCGTCAGAAGATTGCTCTAGGCACTGCTCGGGGGTTGGCTTATTTGCATTACGGGGCACAACCTTCGATTATCCACAGGGATATTAAAGCGAGTAACATTCTTCTTGATCACAAGTTTGAAGCCAAGGTGGCGGATTTCGGGTTGGCCAAGTTCAACCCAGAGGGAATGACGCATATGAGTACCCGAGTGGCTGGAACTATGGGCTATGTTGCTCCTGAGTATGCCTTGTATGGACAGTTGACTGAGAGAAGCGATGTGTTCAGTTTTGGGGTTGTGCTTCTTGAGCTTTTGAGTGGGAAAAAGGCTCTTCAAACGGACCATGATGGTCAACCCTCGGCACTCACTGACTTTGCTTGGGCGTTGGTTAGGAATGGTAGTGCTTTGGATGTTATTGAAGATGGCATCCCGGAACCTGGTCCTCCAGAAGTTCTTGAGAAATATGTGTTGGTTGCTGTGCTGTGCTCTCATCCACAGCTATATGCTAGGCCAACGATGGATCAGGTTGTTAAAATGCTGGAGACTGATGAATCGGTACCCTCGTTGATGGAAAGGCCAATTCCTTTTATTGCTGGGAGGATTGATATCGAGAAATCTGCGCTTAGTAACTCGGGTCAGTTATGCAGTCCAACTGGTTATCAAGCATATACATTACAAGGTCGCCGCATATCTAGTTCTAAGGAGGAGACAGAAGAAGGAAGTTCCGTGTCCGAGGCTGTCACCACAGATTGAAATTGCATGGGGGAATTGAATTGTTTTCCACTAGCTGGTGTAGACATAATTTTTTTATACATTCAGATTTCAGATTGTATCTTTTTTGAAACGTTTTCTGTTGTAAAGGAAGAAAGGGGTGTACATAATTTGATTCTTTTTAGAGTTGTTTCGTTGCATGGTTTTTTCTTTACACTTGTTATTTTTTAACATGAACCGGGTAACATCGACCTTGCCCACAGATTGAACCTGAGGGCATCGTCTAGATTAAATCAAACATGTTGAAAAACTTAGGCGACAACATCCGTTATTTCGTCACCATGTTTGATTTTGGTGTGGTAAGGGTCAATGGTTATGTTTGCATTGGTTTCTTGTTCGTATTTGTGGTCATAACATGGGCTGCCATTATTGGTGTTATCATGCAATGGTTTCAGAAGGGGTGCATGGTGGAACAGGGTATTATCTTTTTCCTAATGTGAAAATAAAATAGAAATTATTAAGGATTATAAATCATAAATTAATTATAGAAGGAATATAAGATGCATGTTGAACGTCCTTATTCAGTATGTTTGGATGGCAGTCAACACCTAAAAATTACAGTATTTTATTATGACTTTTCAAAACATTAAAGAGGAACTTGAAGACTATGTTCACCTAAACATTAGGGTATTTAATTATGATTTTTCACGCATTAAAAAAACTTTACCAAAAACGTGCTTTACTACATTTCTAAGAGCACCTCCAGTTGGAGAGTGCTTAGTTAGTTTGTAAAAGTTAAACATCGTCCTTTATTTCGAGATATTACATTGTTTAAGTTCATGTGAAGAGATTTGATTTGTCCTACAAATTAATTTTTTAAAATTTATCAAAAAGTACAATATGAATTGTCAAAAAGTGGAAATACTTATAGGCAAACTCCTATTGAAACAAAAATTATGTAAATATAATATGAATTGCTTAAAAATGATGTGATACAATGAGACTCATTTAAAGTGGTTGAAAATTATTTATAAGTAACTTTCATTATAAATGTTCTAAACACTTGTTTTATCTACTTTATAGCTATAGATGAAATTTATGGGTTAAGCCAGGAGGCCTCTGGTTATGTTGATGCTTGTATGGATTATTCTATATCTTGATAACTAGCCCAATTGGCTTTTGTTTTATTGGACAAGGGAACCTCAACTCCCAACATCATACTCATATCATAGCTGGCAATCAGAGACAAATATATTATACGGATTCCGTTGTTTAAATATATTAGGATTATAATTTTTTGTTCATATATAAATTAATGCATTCGTTCTTAGACAGTATGAAACAACAAGTTGCGTGTAATAAATTACTCAAAAGCTTCTTTTCAAGTGGTGCTTTATATGGTGTGGTATTGCATAATTAACGATAACAACAAATTAGTCTGGGTGAGGCTATATAAATTAAATAAAAAAGAAAAGACGCAATTATTATTCTGATACAGCTAAAACTATTTGTATCATTGCGTGATCTGTTTTTCCATAAAATTATTAAAAAATAATAAAGTATACAATGATCATGATGTTCCAATTTAGGATTTTATCCATGTTATGCAGAAAATTTCATGAAGGTACTTTGGCCGTGCATGATCAAGCTCCTGCCTCACAAAATAAACCAATGTAGGGTCTCTAACCTCTTTTTAGAAGCTATGTTGTCCTTTTACAGTGGATTTGGAGTTTCGACCTTTGTCTTTTTTATTTTAAACTTTAATTGGTTCAATGACTTTATATATATTCAAAGATTTTTTTAAAAGTCTCTTTAAGGAATATAAAAAAAGAAAGATTGTTTTTCAATATTTTATCGAGTAAACTTGATCAAACACGTACTTCGTTCTCTTATAATATTAAATAGTTTGAAATGAATGGAGATTCTTCAAGCTAATTTGAATACAAATTTGTCTTTTGCCAGTATTAATTTCTCGTATTACCATCAAATGAGTTGTTGAATTCAATATTATTGTTCACGTGGATCGGGGATCTGGCTCTTAGATTATAAAGAGTCCAAGGTAAATTTTCTACAACAGGAACGTGTAACTTTCCCAGGGTTTGATACCTTAGATCTATTTAAATGAACTTCAAACTCCATTAATTTATGGAAAGGGTCAAGAGATTCTGTTGGAATATTGAGTAAACGGATAGAATCACCGGAGCTACCTTTGTAGTTGAAAGAGTAGATCAAAGGACAATTTTAGTTATATACATAAATGATCCTTACCGAAGCATGTTAAGTTGACATATAATATGGATGACCAAAATTATATTATTATAAGTCAAAAACGAACTAATTGACTCCTAAATTGTGGATTGACGTATACTCCCAAACATACTTTATGCAAACAAAGTATCACGTCATAGCTAAGGGCATGACTCGGCTGAGATGTTCCAATTTGATACACAGGCTAGAATGAGACAAATATCTTGTCGATCTTTTATGTTAAAAACACCCACAAAATCAAATTGTTTTCGGAAGTAATGGAGAAAGGGAAGGTGCTGGTCGCATGAGTAAGTGAATGTGATGGGTACCTATAAAAACTTACTTTGGCAATCAAGTTATAATGTGATCTAGCAAAAGAATAGTATATAGGGGAAAAAATTTATGAGATGACACGGGGTTTAAATTCAATATTTCAAAACTAATTTGTAACATAAAAGTTATTCTCCATTTATAGTCTTTGATATTGTCATATATTTAGTCGATATGATACTTGAATTTTTTTTATACTTACATCTAATATTATTGATTTTGATACATGGATAAATAATAGTTAACTATTTTTAATGATTTAGAATAGGTGGAGTTTGAATTTTTTTTCGAAACTATAAAGTTTAAATGCAAGTGAGTCACAACTTTAATATGAGAGGGCTTATCCACAAAATAATTCTAATATGACATGAGTTTTTTAACAATTGAATGTTTGAATAAAACTTCTTAACAATAAGGATATAAGTGGGTACGAGTAATCCATAAACTCGAATTGATCCAATGAATTTAGAACAAATTTTTTCAATTTTTGGATCAAATTCAATCTAACCTCATCAAAAAAAAAAAATTTGTTCGTCCCTAGAGTATTCAAGGCCGCTAAACCACACGCTTGGAGTTAATCCCATCAAAATATGATATTGTATAAGTTGGATAGCAAATTTTATATTTTTGACCTATGATTCAATTCGACCCAATTATATATTATAATAATAATAATAATAAATTAGTGTTTAAATGATTACTTATTCAAGACAATAACATCAATCACTCTTACTCAATAACAAATTTTGCATTTTTCAATTAATTGTATTGTAACAATACATATTTATTTTAAATTTTATTTTGCATTAATGTTGGTCATTTGAACCAATAATAATGTAACAAATTAACAAATTAATTTTAAAATTTAATTTATATTATTATTTATTTTATGATAATATTACATTTGTAATAAGATATTAAATATTTTATATCTATTATAAAATATTTAACTTTGTATAAAAAATAAATAAATTTAATTATGTTAACTCAATTAACTTAATCTAATTCAATCTATTTGTGATGAGGCTGGATTGAATTTTATTTTTAAAAAATATACAAATTTGATCAAATATAACCCGTTAAATTTTGATAAAATTACATAATAAATTCATCAAAACTTAACCCAATCCAATCTACTTACACTCATCTTAACATGGATGATGTGAGTTAGTAATTTGAATATTTTATTGTGATAGTGGGAGGACTGAGGAATACCGTATGGGTTACAAGCTCAGTGATTTCTTAGATGACGCCTTGACCCAAAGAAAATCTAAATACGTGGGACATATTAAATTAGGGTTTGTTAAACAATGTCTAACCCTGCAAAAGCTCATAACTCGAAACATATTCAGTAGTTCTGTTTTTATACTTATTTTAAACAAAACATCAATATAATCCGTGATACATTTTGATCATATTAAAAGTATGAAACTAAAGAGAGTGAAATAAATACACTGTTTTTTTTTTTTACAGAAAAAATAAAATACACCGTTTTATTTGCATGCCAAACACTACCTTTAAATTTTGCTTCTGAAATTAAAAAGGTGAAAAAATTAGTTCCACTAACAAAGTATTTTTTATTTTTTTTTACAGAAGTTCCACCAACAAAGTAGAACCAAGAAGAACATAACCATTTCGTTTTTACAAAAGCTACTTATATAAAAAAAATGACATATTAGTCTTGAGAGAGATAATACTTTATTATACTTTGTTTTTTCTTAGAGACAAATGATTTCAATAACTAAAACTTTTTTTTTACTAAAAGATAATTATATTATTTCATTAATTATGATAGAATTGATACAAGTAGGTACATGACTAAAAGTATGTAAATTAACATGAAATCTAGGCGCTATTATTAGAATATGAGTGATTTAATTGGCTTGTTTAGGAATAAAATTTACTGAGAAGTTGTGAATCAAATTAAGTTTTCTTTTACACAAAATCAAAATAAGGCCAAACTTAGTATTTATATAGGAGTTAGAGTGTATGCCATCAAAAACTTGCTTGTAGTCAAATTCAAAATTAACATTGTGGAGATGCATACCAATGACCCAAGTGATTGTTGCTATTAAGAATGATGTCTTAATTTGATGAATAAGAAGATTTGAAGGGAACCTAATTTCTAAGAATCTCTTTGGAAGAGATAAGTCCAAGAAAGGTGAAGGTTAAAGTCTATGATGGAAGATTATCCTTGAAGGCCATAGGACCTTTGACAAGGTTTATGGTTAGGAGGCTAAAGAAAATTATTAAAGAGGATGTGCTTCTTGGACCTTTGGTTATCATGAGCATAAAGTATGTATTCTCCTCATAGTTACTTAGTCTCCTATTGTATATAATTTATATAGTTTGTTTTCCATTCCTTTGTATATAGTAGTTAAGTATATAAGTTATTTTTACCCTTGTATTTAGAGGTGTATGTCTCTTTGTTTTTAGGTCATGCCTTTAGGATTTAGAGGCATGTTCCTTTTTGAAATGTATTCCATTTGACCTTGTATTCATGGTCACCATTTTTAGTTTCTTTGAGTTTAGTAGTTGGAGTGGAAATAACCATTTTTTTGATGTGGCAATAGCCATTCAAGGTGGTGTGGAAGTAGTAAAGGTGTGAAAATAGTCAAAAGTGATATTAGGCTTGTTTTTCTTTTGTTGGCCTAATGAATTGATTTGACTTGGTTCAACCTTCATTTGTTAACTAAAACAAACCAATTCCTTGGTTTTTGGTTTGGCCAAGATAAGCCTAGGCCACCATGGGCCTCCCATCTTGGCTATTCTCCACCTTGGATTGCTTCTCCAACCACCTAGAGACAAGAGGACATTTGTCACTTGTTCATTGGCTCTTGTAGATCTAGTTGTCTCCTACATGTCTCAAACATGTCTTCTAGAGTTTGTTTGTGATTGCTTCCATGCCATAGGTACTCAAATCTGTAAAAATAAAGGCGTCTATGTTGCACTTCAACATACCAAAGACAAGTTTAATCCAACGTTGGTAACTAGTAGCATAATTAAAATTTTGGTGAGAAACACTTATAACAGACAACTCTTCAACAATTTTCCAATGCCAAATGTAATCTTTGAAAGCATTGAATGACACATTTATTGATTTTTCTAAATCTTTCCAAACCTTCTCATTACGACGACACTACAAGCACCAAATGGTAAATATAAAAAGCAATTGTTGGTCCTTATTTAAATATTTTAGAATATAAAAAATGCATTCTTTAAGATTATTAGCATTATTTATAATTGAGTTAATATGATTCCAACATCCATAATTTCTCCACACATTTATAACATGAAAGCAACCAAAAAAGAGCATGTCATCCAAATTTAGGCCAAAATACACAAAATAAACAAATAATAAGATAGATAACATATTTTAAACTAAGACTTACCTAAACAATTAAATCTTAAAAGCACCTTTTTATGCCTTTTAAAAGTTCTAAAATTAATTAACTTTGTTTTTTCTCTAAAACATCACATCAATAATAGTAAATAAAAATTATTTCACACAAAAGTATAATGAGCAAAATTTATTAAAATTTACAACTTTTGATGAGTTTTATCTTTAAATGAGGACTGGTTTTTAAGTGGAAAGCAAGATGAACTAAATTTAGTGATTTTAGTAAATTTCAATAAATGATAGAGAGAATGATAGAAATAAAATATTACTAGCATCCTCTTTATATAAACTAGTGTGTAAAAAAAATTTTGTATCTCCACAAATTACTTTATAAAATAATGAATAATTAAAATTTATATAATAATGAATGATTATTAAAAGTGATCACTTATAAAGTGAAAAAAGTTTATAAAATAAAATATACACGTGTTAGTTAGAAAAAGTTATAAAAGAATAAAATGGTTAAAAAATGTATACACAAAAAAGACCTATTATCATTAATAATAATAATAATAATAATAATATATTAGAATGAAAATTTTATAAAATCATATAATAAATGACCGACGCGTAATGCATACCATCTTGCTAGTATGTAATGATTTTTTTTTAGTTTGATAAAATAGTTGAACCGAAAGAAACTCTCAATATTATAGGCTTTAACCTTGTGCTATTTTTATTAGAAAAAACTAAATAGCAACTATGTAATGATAGTTTACTAAAACAAAAACTAGATTGTAATATTCTTTTTTTCTTCTAATTTTGTTAATTAACAATTTTAGTCTTTTTATTTTTAAAATAGAGATATTTGATTTTTTAAAAATTATAAAATTTTAATAATATTATTAATTTAAGGTTCATTTATCGTTAAATTTTAATAATTTTTTTGTAATTTGTCATCACTTAAATAACATAATAATGTGATTTGTAGAATAAGAATTTAAAAATAATATACAAAATATTCTTATTTATATTATTTATTTTAATGAATGACTAATATTTATTAATTAATAAACCTTATTTGTATAATTTTTTAATTTTCTAAATATTATGTTACTAAATATTAAATTACATGTGTAAAGATTAAAATTTAATGGTTAATAAACGTTAATTTAAAAAAAATAATAAAATTTTATATTTTTAAAATAAAATGATTAAATATTTTTATTTTAAAATAGAAGGATAAAAACGTAATTTAATTTTTAAGAGATTAACAATATAATTAAACCAAATAATAATATAAAGAAAAAAAAATTGAATTTATCCATGAAAATTAACGTGTGTGCTTGCTTTGGATTTTCTTTACCGTGACACAGTCTTTCACAATCTCAAACCCAGTAAATGAAAGTCAAATTTGATGAAAAAATAAAAAAAGAGTTAAATTTCTACCTTCCTCCACAATTTCGTGGCGAACAAACAGGATCTCAGTAAAGTACTAACCTTGGTTATATCTTCGGCTTTACAGTTTACATATGAACTGTTTATATGTTCAAATTTTATTTTCTTCATTTTAATTAAAATCTTCTGTGCGAATTTATTAGAAATCAAAAAAAAAAAATCAAAAACAAAATATTATAGCCATTGAAATAGGTTATTGTTTTTATTATTGTGGACAACCATTCGAAAAGCCCATAAGAAACACTACAAACCTAAGCAAATTACTCTCACCAACTTCTCAATCAGTGTATACGAAGGAAACTCATGTGACAATAATACTTTAGCATAAAAACCTTTCTTTATATTCATAATTTGTTTTCTCTTTCTTAAACTTATTTGTTGGGAAATTGTGAAAATAATGATTCTTTATACACTATATAAGAATTGACCGAGCAAAATTTAGGAGATAAAAGACAATTTCTATTTTTCATACTTTCTTTCATATTCATTATTCTTCTTCTAAATAATGTTAGTGAGACTCTATCAAACATGATTATTTTTAGGTTAAATACCTCTTTTGGTCTCTTACAATATTTTTTTGTTTCAATTTAGTTTCACTTTAATTTTTGGTCTCAATTTGGTCTCAATAACTTAAATTAGTACAATTTGGTCCTTCCGTCCAAATGATTTAGACGGAGTTAACTGTTGACCACGTGGCATCTACGTGGATGCCACGTGGATGCGCACGTGGACGCCAAAATTCCTGGAAAAAACCTGAAACCTGAAACCAGAACGGCCCGTTCTGATTTTAGAACGGGTCGTTCTACTTTTGGAACGGGCCATTCTGATTTTAGAACGGTCTGTTCTGCTTTTGGAACGGACCGTTCTGAATTCAGAAGGGCCCGTTCCAAAATGCCATGCTTTTTATTATTATATCTATATTAATAAATAAAAAATACAATAAATTAATATTCATTTATGAATAAAACTAAAAAAAAATCAAATAAGATAAGACCTTCTAAAATATTTCTTTGATTTGAATTTATCCAGTTCAAAATCTTGACTAAAATGCCGCAATGTATTTCAAAAATTGAAAATAAAAATTCATAATATCATAAATTCAAAGACTGAAACATGGTTCAGAAACTAAAAACAAAAATTCAGAACATAACATTACTAAAAAAATTCAAAGAAATTATTAAGAAAGGAAATCAGCTGGGTAACGCTGAAGGAAAACTCTAAACCACAAAAATTCAGGTTGTACCTCCTCAAGAACAGGTTGTTATTGTTGGGGTACATCATCAATGTCTTTAAGGAAAAACACTATTTCGTTTTATCCTTGATTGTATAGTGTCAATTTGGTAGTAAGTGGTTCACTCCAGTTTGACTAACAATGAAATAAAACTTGTTACCATTGTCCTTAGTGATACACTGCATCATCCTTAACGATGTACTTTATAGCTCAAATATTTAGCAATTGAAGTTATTAATCCTCATTAACAATATTACTAAATCTAGTGTTTGAAATGCTTTGTATTTTGGTTTTTTTTTTACAAAATTCTGGACCAGAACGGCTGTTCTGGTTTCAGGTGTATTCAAGTATTTTGAGTTCCACCTACGTGGCATCCACCTGACATCCAGGTGGCCACCAGTTAACTCCGTTAAATCATCTAAGTCCCAAATTGCAACGATTTAAATTATTGGGGATCAAATTGAGACCAAAAATTAAAGTGGGACTAAATTGAAATAAAAAAACATTGTAAGGGACCAAAAGAGGTATTTAACCTTGTTTTTATCATAAGTCCGTTGTCATCGTTAAGGTCAGTACATCCAAGGTAGCCCATCCGATGTTCTTATCATAAGTTCATTGTCATCGTTAAGGTCAGTACATCCGAGGTAGCGTATCCGAGGTATTGTCCGCTTTGACACTCGTTAGACCATCACGATTTTTTTTCTTTAAAAGGCGCATCGGTGGGTTAAGGATGAAGGGTGTTTATAAACTGCCCTTAGCCTCGACTCCTAAGTGACGTGGGGCTTTTAGGCATATCGGAATTGTTGTGCACCAAGGGTTACCACACACATACATAAATGTCTCCACATTGGTAAGATATTATCCGCTTTGGGCCCAAGCCCTCACGATTTTGCTTTTTGACACCACCCAAAAAACCTTTCTATTAATAGAGACAACTGTGTGTATATATACCCATGTCCATCTTCTTGTTTGAACGATGTGGGACTTTGCTTGCATCTCAACCTGAATAAGTCCCTCAGTCAATGCTAAGGGGCAAGAGTGGCTTAGGCCCTCCTTCTAGTGCCAAATATTCCTATCGTAGGTTCACTGTCATCATTAGGGTCATTGTATCTGAAATATTGTCCGCTTTGCTTCGTTGGGCCGTCATGATGTTATTCTTTAAAAGGCGTCTCAGTGAGTCAAGGAAGGAGATTATTTATAAACTACACTTAGGCATACCGGAATAATGATGTTATGTAAAATTTGGGAGAAGAAATTAGATTTTAAATTGTTGGAGAGATGTATCATAATTTACTATTAATACAATATTATTTTTCTTTCATTTTTTACTAATATTTTCTAACAAAAAAAGTTTAATTTGTTGACGTTACGCGTGGAAAAGGAGAAAATGTAATGTGCAGAAAAAGCGAGGAAGAGAGTAGTTTTGAGATGGTCCCATGGTTAAAAGCATGCAATGTTTGACTAATTACCCGGAAGTTGTTGGGAATGTCGAAGTGCTCTTTTCACACAGCAACAAGCACAAAGACGAACATTCAACAATAGCATGCTCTCAAATCGAAAATCTATCTCACTGCCACACATTCCCAATGTCACTCTGTCTGTTCCTTATCACCATCTTCCTCACTTACCCTTTTCTTTCCCTCTCTGTTTCATGTCCCCTCAACATCAACCTCCTCCACCGTTACACACCCTCTTCAAACTCTGTCACACGCTGCCACGACATCCTCCAATCCCTTCGAATCCTTCGATCCGAATACCTCCAACGAACTCGTTTCTTCTCCCCTCCTCCTAACTCCTCCTTCTCCTGCTGGAACAATATCCAACATTTCATCCACCAATACGACATTCGCTCCTCCTGCAACATCACTTCCTGTTCCACTTTCAACTCATGCACCACCTTCACAACACGATCGCAATTCGAGGGATATATTCCTGTTTCCGTGCTTCGACCCGTGTGGAAGACTTGTAACCAATCTCTTAGCGCTCCAGTACCTTGTACTCTCTGCACCAACGCTTTCTCCGACTTGAATTCCTACCTTACTAGGAGAACCGCTGATTGCAACGCTATTGCTTTTATTTATGCTGCTTCCTTCTCCGATTTGCAAGACCCCGGAACCGCTAAATGTTTGTTCAGCTTTGGTTTTTCCTCTTCTGCTAAAAGTGGTAAGCGTCGAACCATTCTTATTGTGCTTTTTTCTATCTTAGCCGTCTTCTTGCTGGTCTTGGGTGCCCTCTGGGCTTACTTTAGATTAAGGAACAACAAAAAGGGTGTTGCTTTGGATTCTGGGTTGGATTCCATGAACCAAAGTACCACTTTGGTTAGGTTCACTTTTGATGACATTAAAATGGCTACTAGGAACTTTGCCGCTGACAACGTAATTGGGAAGGGGGGTTATGGAAATGTTTATAAAGGAACCCTCTTGGATGGTAGTCAAGTTGCGTTTAAACGTTTCAAGAATTGTTCTGTTGCCGGGGATGCTAGCTTCACTCATGAAGTTGAGGTTATTGCTAGTGTTAGGCATGTGAACCTTGTTACCTTACGAGGCTATTGTACTGCTACCACTGATTTAGAGGGTCACCAAAGGATTATTGTCACTGATTTGATGGAAAATGGAAGTCTTTTTGATCATTTAGTTGGTTCGGCCAAGAAGAATCTGAGTTGGCCGATTCGTCAGAAGATTGCTCTAGGCACTGCTAGGGGGTTAGCTTATTTGCATTACGGGGCACAACCTTCGATTATCCATAGGGATATTAAGGCAAGTAACATTCTTCTGGATCACAAGTTTGAGGCGAAGGTGGCGGATTTTGGGTTGGCCAAGTTCAAGCCAGAGGGAATGACGCATATTAGTACCAAAGTGGCTGGGACTATGGGCTATGTTGCTCCTGAGTATGCCTTGTATGGACAGTTGACTGAGAGAAGTGATGTGTTCAGTTTTGGTGTTGTGCTTCTTGAACTTTTGAGTGGGAAGAAGGCTCTTCAAACGGATCATGATGGTCAACCCTATGCACTCACTGATTTTGCTTGGTCATCAGTTAGGAACGGTAATGCTTTGGATGTTGTTGAAGATGGCATGCCAGAACCTGGTCCACCACGAGTTCTTGAGAAGTATGTGTTGGTTGCTGTTCTGTGTTGTCATCCACAGTTATATGCAAGGCCAACAATGGATCAAGTGGTTAAAATGCTGGAGACAGATGAATTGGAACAGCAAATGTCTTGTGTTGCTGGGAGTATCTACAGTGAGTAGGTTGTTAAAAGGGTAAAATCTTATTTTGGTCCTTTATAATAATTGTTTGTTTTAATTTAGTCTCATTTTTATTTTTAGTCTCAATTTGGTCTTTAATAAATTAATTGATTCCAATGTCGGACTTCCGTCTAAATTATTTAAACGGAGTTAACTGTTGGTCACGTGAATAGCACGTAGATGCATAAGTGGATGCCATGTAGATCCCAAATTTTTTGAAAACACCTAGAACCAGAACGGTCAGTTCTAAAACCAGAACGGGCCGTTCTGGGTGCACTTTTGGTGTGTTATTTTTGCATCTGAAACGGGTCGTTCCAGATGCAAAATTAACACACCACGTACAAAAGAACGACCCGTTCTAAAACCAGAACGACCCGTTCTAAAACCAGAACGACCCGTTCTGGTTTCAGAACGGGTCATTCTGGATTCAGAACGACCCGTTCCAAAACTATAATAATTTTAAAAAAAATATTTTTTTATAGTAAAAAATTTAAAATTACTTATTTTTATAAAATACAATTATCTTATAAATAGAGTGATAACTTTTCCTTTTTCTCTTTTTGTCTGAAGAAATATTTAAGTGTCACTTAATAATTTTTTGCAACTTATTTAAAATTAGAGGAATAAAATGATAAAAATTAATAGGATAAACATAATAAAATTATTAATTTGTTTTCTTTTAGTGTCCTCTAAATTTTTACACTCATTTAAAATAAAAATATTTTATATGTTATTTTGAATTAATAAAATGAAGTATCATATGATTTTTAATTTTTAAAAAATTTTATAAATTTGATCTATACATGAAAAGCTTTTCAATTTAACAATTAAATTTTTAAAAATTTGATATATAACATTAATTATTAAGTAGAATAAATCTATCAAGACTTACTCTTGAAGTAAGTAAATTTTTTCTTCATTAAAAATGAAGATAATGGTAAAAACCCTTATTTGGTCCCTTATAATATTTTTTTGTTTCAATTTAGTCCCATTTTAATTTTTGGTTTTAATTTGGTCCCCAATAATTTAAATTATTGCAATTTGGGACTTCCGTTCAAATGATTTAAACGGAGTTAACTATTGGCCACGTAGATGCATAAGTGGACGCCAAATTTCATGAATACACCTGAAACCAGAACGGTCCGTTCTGAAAACAGAACGGCCCGTTCTGCATGCACATGTTATGTGTTAATTTTGCAATTGGAACGGGCCGTTCTAAAACCAGAACGCCCAGTTCTGGTTTTAGAACGGACCGTTCTGGATTCGTTCCAGATGCCAAATTTACACACAAATAGTGTAACCAGAACGGGCCGTTCTGGTTCCAGGTGTATTCGAGCAATTTGGCATCCATCTACATGGCATCTACATGGCATCCACCTAGCATTCACGTGACCAACAGTTAACTCCGTTTAAATCATTTGGACAGAAGTACCAAATTAAAATAATTTAAATTATTAGTGACCAAATTAAAACCAAAAATTAAAGTGGGACTAAATTGAAACAAAAAAATATTATAAGGGACCAAATAAGGGTTTTAACCGAAGATAATTTTACCATAAAATAAAAAATAATTAAACAATAAAATAAAATATATAAAAAATATTAATGTATTTATTATATTAGATATAACAAGATAATTAAAATATAATTAATAATATATATTTTATAAAATTATTAATATTTTATATATAAAAAAAGAATGAAAAAAATTTTAGTGGGGGCAAGTGCCCCCACTATGATTAACTTAGATTCGTCCCTACATGTGGTTGTGTGGTGAAATATTAGTCCTCTTCTTTTACTTCAAGTTCTACCTCTTCAAGAACAGGTTGTTGTTGTTGGGGTACATCATTAATGACTTCAAGGAAAAATACCATGTCATTTCATCATTTACTGTATAGTGTCAATTTAGTAGTAAGTGGTTCACTCCAGTTTGACTAACAATGAAATAAAATCTGCTACCATTGTCTTTAGTGATACACTGCATTGTCCTTAATGATACACTATATAGCCCAACTGTTCAGCAATTGAAGTTATCAATTTTCATTGACAATATTACCAAATTCAGTGTTGGAAATGTTTTGTACCTTGGGTCTTTTTCCTTCCACAATTCACAATCGTGAACTGACCGTTTGTGTTTAGCAGTGTGGAACCAGAACGGCTCGTTCTGAAACCAGAACGACCCGTTCTGGTTGCACTTTTAATGTGTTAATTTTGCACTTGGAACGGACCTTTCCAGATGCAAAATTAACACACCAAGAGTGCATCCAGAACGACCCGTTCTGGTTTCAGAACAGGCCGTTCTGGTTCCAGGTGTTTTCAAAAAAAATTGGCCTCCACGTGGCATCCATGTAGCCAACAGTTAACTCCGTTTAAATAATTTAGACGAAAGTCCGACATTGCAACTAATTAATTTATTAGGGATCAAATTGAGACAAAAAATAAAAGTGAGACTAAATTGAAACAAACAATTATTATAAGGGACTAAAATATTATTTTAGCCTTGTTAAAATGTGTCGGTAGTAACTTGGGGTCCACTTGGTTAGCATTATGAAGTCACTACACTTCCTATTTTAAGCAAGGAAGCTCAGGGCCACCTTCTGGACAGATACAAATAGAAATAGGATAAATTGGATTGTCTTCCATAGTTCCATTGGCTAGTAGTGTCACCACCACTTGTTTGAACATTTACATTATGCAAAATATAAGTGGTATAAAGAAGGTTCTTTAACCATGCAATTTGGCATTAATGTGTTAAATCTAATGATAAATTGTTAGATAGTGTCTAGCTTTGATTCTCGATCACAACATTTGTTGATAAGTTCTTTCTTATTTTTTAATCGAATTAGATTAATCTAAAATAAAATCTTAAAATATTGATGAAAAAAATTAAAAAAGATTCTTTTTATATGAAAAAATTATACAGATAAATATCTTTCGCAACTTTATGTTCTTCAGGGGATTTAATCCTTGTTATTTCTCCTGTGTTTCTCTGCTTAAATAATCCCAATCTCTTTTAGTTCCTTTTCTTTGGATGATTGGTTTCATGGAAATCATTCTTTATATAGAAATTATAGAGATAAAATCAATTTATTTATGCGATAAGATATGATTCAAAAAGATATCAATAAAAAATAAAATAAATCTTTTTTCAATTTTTTAAAAATGTCTATCGGTAATCAGTCTCATCCATAATAACAATTGTCTTCGCACTTAAATTAACAAATATAATTAAATATTATCATTTTTCTGATTTATTTAATATTTTATAATTTTTAAATAAAATCTAATTATTTATTGATTTATTATTTTATATTTTTAAATAAATTTTAATTAAATAATTAAAATAATACTTATTTAGTATAGAAATTTATTAATTATTTTTATAATATTAAAATAATTTTTTTATTATAATAGTTTATTTATTATAATAATTTATTTATTATCTAATATTTTCAAATAATTAAAATACATCTATTGTAGCGACTTTAGTACATAATTTATTTTTTATGATTTTACAATAGCCAACATCCTTAAAAAACAAAAAAGACGTAATTGTTGCTTCTTTGAAGAACATCCTCTTCTGATTTGCTCCCCGATAATACTTGCATTGCTACATGAGTTATTATTATTTTTCATTTTAAAAATTATAATTAGGATTACATAATTCACTTAAAATTATGTATATGTTAGCTCAACTTTCATCGTTAGATCCACTTAATGATTACATGAATATTTATTTACAAATTGATGTGATATATAAATTACAACTCATACAATAGTGTTTTTTACTTTTCTATAATTTATTATGGATTTTATAGTCATGTAATGTCATTATAAAAAAAAGTTATATTGTTTATCAATAAAATATTATTTTAAAATTACATCAGTCATCAAATTGGTTGGAATACTAGATTAGTAAATTAGATGTTGAATTCATGAGTCACTAATTGAACTACATTATTCAATCTCTATTAATTATTTTAAAAAATTATGTCATATATATTTTATATTTATAAATTTTAATAAAATTTATATCATGTTTTAAAAAAGTCTCTAAAAAAATTATAATCATTATAATAATAACAAAACAACTAAATAAATTAATATATAATTAAATATATCAATTATATAATTATATAATAATAAAGTATGTTAGTTTAATTGTTACTAAAATGTTAAATAATTATATTCATTTTTGTCTAAATTATATCTTCAAATAAAATATAATTTAATAATATATATTATTTATTACAAATAATAGCAAAAACTTATTTATCTCAGTAGTAAAACATTTACATGTACATGAAAAATGATATTTATTCAAATTTCATTTTTAACACTTGATCTGGGTTCGCTAACTACCGACTATTAGTTCAACCGGCCGATAATAGTTTTTAAAATAAGAAAAATTCTACGGTACTCATTATAATTGTGGGATACCGGAACAATTATTTTATATATTTTATTTATTTATTATAATTACTTATTTTCTTTTTATTTTTATTTAATATTTTTAATAATTTATCTGTATAAATTTTTTTATATCTTTATATTATTTTTATATTTTTTAGTTTATATCTTAATGTAGTAGCTATTATAATTAAAAATTTTAATATTAATATTTTGTTAATATGTTTTAGTTTTTCTTTGGTGATATTTTTTTTAAAATTTATAGTATAAATTAATTTTTCAGTTGTATTATTTTTTATTTTATTTTAATGTTTTTATAATATTATTATAATTTTTAATTTTTAATTTTTTAATTTTGTCATAAAAATTTGTTATGAAAATTGACCTTTATTTTTTTTTTGAATTAGTCTTTTTGATTGATTCATTTTATACAAATTTTTAATATAAAATTGATGTTATTTTAAATTTATTTATTCACATAATTTAATGCATCAAAACCCTTTAATTTTAATGGGTACCATAACAATTCTCTTAAAATAAATATGGTAAAAGTTAATAAATTTATTGCATATAATGGTATGATCGGATAACATTTTTTTATTTTTTTCTCATTTGGTATGTTTTTAAATCAAAATCTCTATTTTTAGTTGTATAATTTATTATACGGATTATTTCTTAGTTATAATGAAAGAGCAATAAGATATTTCGAAAGACACATAGTGTGTTTGGAAATACGTTTGTACACATTCTCTCTCCACGTCTAACATAATTTTACGTAGAAGTTATTGTTTATTGCTTCCGATCAAACGTAATTTTTCACAATGACTTTGCATCAACACTTGTCACATCTCATTATTAGATAGCTGAATGCTCAAGTTATAGCCTCTTCCATTTCAGCCACCAATCCTTAACAAGTTGAACACTCTCACGCAATAATTGTCCCCCGCAGGATATAATTTTCTAACTCTTTTATAATGAATTTTGTTCAGTGTTTTGCCCTTAAGTTTGACCACTATATGCTTCTCCCACGTCCATCCAAAAGACATGAGATTTAGATTCACGTCCATCCAAATGCCAGTTTTGTGTAGGGCACTCCTTGCTGTAATTTAACTATTACCCCTCATGCTTATAAGTGGACAATACTTCCCTTGTTTCCACAACTAACATTTGCCTCTGTTTTTTTTTCCTATAATCATATCAATTTCAATATATAATATACATCAAGGAACTAGGATTTGATAACGCACAGAAGTGAACATGGCGATCAAAGAAGATGTGGAGGATGGCGTGCAGAAAGGAATCAGAGAGCCATTGGTGGGTGAACAGGACCAACAGCTGGTCCATGCAAGCAAAGGCCATCCATGGATGGTTTACTTTACAACATTTGTTGCAGTCTGTGGTTCCTATGAATTTGGGACTTGTGTAAGTGTTTAGTTTGTAGTTGAACTCTGTGTAACGTAACATTCCCCATTCCCAGTAAAGTGGATGTTGTAAAGTTGAAATCCAACAGAAATATGATATTTTATTTGACTCATGTTTCTCTGTGGAATGATTATTTGTTTGTTTTCAGGCTGGATATTCATCTCCCACTCAAGATGCAATCAGAAAGGATCTCAGTCTGTCTTTGGCAGAGGTAAGCATGTGGTTATTCATCCAATAGGATTAGTGAAACCATGGGAAATAAATTGAAAATATCCAACTAACAGCTAGTCTTTCAGTAAACTTAACAAGGGCCAAGAATTGATAGGAATAAGGAGTACTTAGCAACAAATTTAATGCAATTTTCTGATAGTGTAAGCTCAGCTGATTAAAACAGAAATATATGCTTGTGATCTAAAATCTAAAATCTTACTCAGAAAGATTGATTGATTTCTGGAAGAAAAAAAAAATGGAAAATTTTTTAGTAGCAACTTACGATTGTTATGTAGTCATAAAATGTATGTCCTTGATGTCAGTGCTAACAAACTAGCCCTGGATTTGATCTAATTTTCTTTGCTTTCTGATGTATTAATTGTGTGCAGTACTCCTTGTTTGGGTCCATCTTGACTTTTGGTGCGATGATTGGTGCAATTACGAGTGGGCCTATTGCCGATTATATTGGACGAAAAGGGGTAAGTTAAAAGAAATTACGATGGTTGTTTTGGATTAACTTGTAAGTTATTTTCGTTTGAGGGTATCCACTATCCAACATGTGAAAATGTTGATTTCGGAATAAATGCAGGCAATGAGAGTGTCAAGTGCTTCCTGTGTCGCTGGATGGCTTGTTATTTACTTTTCTGAGGTTCTTACTACAATACTTGTACCGTGTTTTTGCCATAATTGTTCTCCAAGGATCATAACCTAACAAAACTTTCTTTTTCTTTTTCTTTTTTTATACAGGGACCAGTTCCTTTGGACATTGGAAGGCTAGCAACAGGATATGGAATGGGAGTTTTTTCATATGTGGTTGGTTGTAGTTCTACTCACCAAAAATCCTCTTAATTTACAAAATTTTATTTCAGACACTTGCATGTTCAAATTATTAAAATTGACCGTATATGTGATGGATTGTACAAGGTTCCTGTCTTTGTAGCAGAAATTGCACCAAAAGAACTCCGAGGGACATTGACTACCTTAAATCAGGTAGATTTCTGCAACAATTATTGTAACATTGGAATCATTGGAGTCCATATATACACGTGTGTGCGTGTATCTTAAGTATACTGATTAAACCTGAACTAAACAGTATGCAATGAAGGTAACAAAGACATCTAACTTTTTTTTTTCATTTCCCTTGCAGTTCATGATTGTTGCTGCTGTGTCGGTGTCATTCATAATTGGAAATGTACTTTCATGGAGGGCTTTGGCTTTAATTGGTGAGTCTTCCCAATTTGAATCTAATTCCAACAGTAAGGATATTGGCAGGACAAAAACAAATCATAAAATTAGAAATTAAACGTTGCTTTGCTGGAGAGCTGACTAGGTAAGCGTTTGCAATTGCAGGCCTTATTCCCACTGCTGTATTGCTTTTGGGTCTGTTTCTCATTCCGGAGTCTCCAAGATGGCTAGTAAGAAATTAATTTAGATATTCATGTTTTTATCAGAGGACAATACACAGTAGTTTTCATAAACTCAAGAGTACTAACCAAGCAATGGTTGCAGGCAAAGAGAGGACGTCAAAAAGATTTTGAGGCAGCATTGCAGATACTTCGAGGCAAAGATGCTGATATATCAGAGGAGGCAGAAGAAATTCAGGTTCATATACTGCTTTTAGTCTTTTATATAATTATGTGACTTTGCTTTGAAGAAGCATTCCAAATATACTGTGATTAAATGAGTGTATCTGTCACTGCCAAACAGGATTATATAACTACTTTGGAGCGACTTCCAAAATCCGGCCTGCTGGAATTGTTTCATAGAAGATATTTGCGTTCAGTCACTGTAACTATACCTCTCTCCAAATGTGACTGAAATCTGCTTTCTTTTTCCTTTTGGATAATGTCACTAAAGTATCACTTCACTTCCCTAAAATCAGATTGGAATAGGCCTCATGGTCTGCCAGCAGTTTGGGGGAATCAATGGAATTTGCTTTTATACCAGCAGTATTTTTGAACTAGCAGGTATGTACTTATAGGAATTGTTGCAATCATATTTTGTTCAAAGTCTGCATTTCAAGTCTATGACACCGTCATACTTTATTGCACATCACCATTTCGTATAACCAACAACTCACTGCCACACTTCCCATTGGAAACGGACAAACTGTTGAATAAACTTCATGAAGCATTCAAATTTTTTATTTTTTGGCAATGAATATTTTGTGGATTTTAATTCAGGATTTTCTCCCACCATTGGGACTATAACATATGCTTGCCTTCAGGTTCTTAATTTTAACTAGACCAATAGTTCGTAAAGTCTAATATTTGTTTTCCCCAAACCAACTCATCATTATTTTTCCTTTTGCAGATTGTGGTCACAGGTGTTGGAGCAGCCCTCATAGATAAAGCTGGCAGGAAGCCCCTACTTCTGGTACATTCAAAGCACAAAACAGTTTATCTTCAAACTTTCGTCTGTTCATAAATATCCTTTTTGTGTATAATATTCTTATTGTTCTTTCTTGATTTCATTTTAGATATCTGGATCGGGATTGGTCGCAGGATGTGTATTTGCAGCAGTTGCATTCTATCTTAAGGTACACCCCATAGCTTCTGGTTTTTCATCCTGATAATTTTGTGAAAATAATATCCTTCTGTGAAACAGGTTCACGAGGTGGGTGCTGCAGCAGTCCCAGCACTTGCCGTAACAGGCATACTGGTATAATGACCATTGCTACTATGTCTTTATTGATGCTGTTTTCTTGGATGTGTCTCAGAAATATGAACCGATTCTCCATGTGTGATTACTCTTTCTTTTGGTGATATTAGGTTTACATAGGAGCATTTTCAATTGGAATGGGAGCAATTCCATGGGTTGTGATGTCTGAGGTACTTACCTTCCTCTCTCTTCGGTCAAGTTTTAATGCCACTAAGATAAGCACAAGAGAAGAAATGCAAATTAATTAAACATATACAATATGGAATTTCTAGAATAACAGTTGTACTTAAGAACTAGCAATTGTTGATCCCCTGCTGGAATTAAATGTATTATTATTTTTATTTGGCTTGAAGCTAGTGATGCGTGTTAATAGCCAAAACCAACTTACAAAGTCTCCACTTATAAAACTTGATCAAAATCAGCAAGACTTACTTTTAGCGAAGAGACATAAAACTTGATCAATTATTACCTTTGGTTTACACTTTACAGATATTTCCGGTCAATATTAAAGCGATAGCAGGAAGTGTGGCCACATTAACGAACTGGTTTGGTGCATGGTTATGTTCCTATACTTTCAACTTCCTTATGAGCTGGAGCTCCTATGGTAAATAAACACAAGTCACGTTTTTCTGTTTTATTTCAATTAAAGGTGTTTACAACCTGGGATTAACCGTAGAAGATTGAAGTTAAGGAAACCTGTAGAACTAGTAAATTCACTTGTGTGTACAATTTGCAGGTACCTTCATTCTTTATGCAGCAATAAATGCACTGGCTATATTATTTATAATTGTTGCTGTGCCAGAAACCAAGGGGAAAAGCTTGGAACAATTGCAAGCGGCCATTAACGCATAGGAAGCAGGAGTTTGGTGATTTGTTGAACAGTGTACGTTGGAGAAAGAAAAAGGAAAAACCGACGCTGTTTGATGATTGAATCATCACTAGCCATATTATTTGTCTTAGTTTTGCTTTTATATTTGTAAAGTTATGGCACAAATTTCTTCCATATTTTTTGGATGTGGGTAAGACATTCATTTGTCGAGTGTATTAAGAGTTTTCGATTGGTGGAGTTTTCGAAAGCTATAGTTGTAGTGATTGAATCCAAGAGGTTATGTGTTGAGCATTAGAGCTTTGAGCGTTCTTGATGAAAGGTCAAAGTTTTGGTGATTTCCTTCAGTTTTGATGCTTGCATATTAACCTAGTTAAGGGATAGGTTGCATGAGGATTTTATTTCAGATATAAGTCTTTTGTGTGGAATATGTGAGTTGATTTGGTTTAGGATTGTAGTGGGAAGCTTGAATACGAGTTTGAGGCGGAAAGGAGTGAGTTAGAAAGGATTGAGGTATTTTTTTGGTTTTAGATGTTGATATAATGTTGTTGTCTAGTGTAGAGGATGTTTTCGCTGCAGTTTTGTTGTGTCGGTATGGGTACCGTAATGACAAAATTAGATTTTGTAGTCTTCAGGAAAGTTGAAGCCTTGGATGTTAGCTTTCCAATGAAATTGGAATCAGATAAAATGGAGGTCTAGAACTTTAGTTATAATTGCTTTAGTGATCAGAGATCTAGCTATAAGCGCTGAATATATCTGTTGTGTTTTTTAATTTTTAGTTAAGAAGATGGTCTCTTTAGAATCTTACGTCTTCATAAGAGTTATAGCTTATTCTCTTAACTTTCTTTTGAGATAGGTTTGAGATCATTTGGATGAGTATAACTCTCTTTGTGTCATTTTCTTTGACAGTTGTTGAAGGTAGGTATATGTTGTCATGATGTTTTTGAGTTGTTAGGCATAGCAAGGATAAAAATAGATTTGGATATGATGTTTTGAGGTTTTGTCATTGAGAGGTTGTTTAAGATGATATGATGCTATCTGGTAAGGTTGGTTCATGTACATGCTATATGGTGTAAATGATGATTGATTCGTACATGCTTAGGGATGGTATATATGAAGGTTTAAAGTAGGTATTCTAATATGATTTGATAAGCATGTATGTTGATATGAGGATAGATGATCTTATGGATCAATTAGCGAGTGTTTAGGTGTTTAGTAAGATTGACCTTAGGGTGTGATATCATCATATTAGAGATGACGATGAAGATGTATCCAAGATAGTTTTAAGTTGATATCTAAGTGTGATTTTTGATTGTATGAATTGAGTTTTCTAGGCCCTGTAATTTCTAGCGGAGGTATAACGTAGATCTATCTAAGATAGAAGTTGTGCTTAAGTGAGAGATACTTGAGTCTATTAGTGAGGTTATGAGTTTCTTGGATTAGCTCATTGTTGTTGGATATTTATTGAGTAACTTTCTAAGATAGCATTACCTTTGAACAAATTGAGTAAGAAGAGTGTTGTTTTTATGTGAGATAGTAAGTGTGTGAGTAGTTCCCAAGTTCTTAAGGAAAGATCGACTAGTGCACCAGTGTGAGCATTGGCCAATCTTAGTAAGCCTTTTGTGGTATAGGTTGATGTTTCTAAGATAGGTTTAGGTGGAGTGTTGATGCAAGAAGGAAAGGTAGTAGCTTGTGATTCTAGGCAATTGAAAACTTATTAGAGGAATTACCTTACTTATGATTTTAAGTCAGCGGTTGTAATATTTAGAGACACTGCCTATATGATTCTAAGCTTGAGGTATTTATTGATCATTAAAGCCTTAATTATTTGTTGACTGAAGGAGTTAAATTATGAGACAAAAGAGATAGTTTAAATTTCTGGAGGACTAATATTTCAAACTTAGTTGTTATCTGAGTAAAGCCATTATGGTGACCAATATTTTGAGTAGGAAACCTCTACATTTATCCTCCCTTATGATTAGAGAGATGAATCTCTTTGGCTCAAATTAGAGATTTAAGTTTGGCTTATAAGGTTACCCTTAGTAGTGTGAGACTAAGTATGACTTGAGTAACGAATGGATTGGTGAAGGAAATTGGAGAAGCATAATTAGTTGATTCATTTTGGTGACAAGATATGAGGCTATAGGATAAGGTGATGGATAAGAGTTTGACTTGGGTGTAGATGGAGTGGTGAAATTAGAGATCTGATATGTATACCTAGTGAACTTACGCTTAGGTGCTTAATCTTTAGAGATGATCATAGAAGTAAAACCAATGTTGTGGCAGATGCCTTGATTATGATAACCTCTGGTATATCGTTTATGATGATTTAAGGGTTGGATTTGATTGAAGAATTTAGAGACTTATGCTTTGTGTGTGAGATTATCCTTAGGAGCATTGAATTGATTATGTTGAAAGTGACTAGTGAATTAATGGATGAGATTAGAGAAGCCTAGGAGTTAG